AGGCAAAAAGAAAACCAGGGCATGCGCCTCCTTGTCGTTTCTTGGTCCTGAAGTGTCCATCCTGCCTGCCTTCTCTTCACTTTCAGAGTCTTCTCTGTTTCGTCTTCTATCCAATGCCCACGGTTTTATTTGTACTTAGAAGGATAGGGAAGTTATGTCTCCCATATTCCAGGAAGGAGAGGTTTCAGGGAACCTTTTTGGGAAAGGCTTTGGGTTGAGGCCACCCCGACTCTTTCCAGAGAGGAGCCGGGAAGAGGCACAGCCTCTGCTGTATGGGCCGGTGAGGGAAGCTGTTGAAGCGGAAGGGAAGCAGGCCAGGGGTGCTTTCATGTGGTGGCTTTTCCATGGGGGTTAGGCCATGTGCTTTCTCCAGGGTCGCCTGCTTGAAACAGCTCAGTCCATCTTCAGTTCCATACAGCTCAGCTTGGATCCTCATTATCCACAACAGATACCTGCTTCTCCTGCACGCCCCCCACCCCCCAAAACACAAACAACCAAAAGACCAGCCACCCAGCCAAAGAACAGCACTAGCTGCATGAGTGATAGAGTATGTCCCCCGGGCTAGCTTCCTTGGGGGGTCTGCATTTCAAGTTGTTACGGGTTTTCAGGAAGGAAATGCCTTCCATCTGCCGGAGGCCTTGCCCAGGAAAGAAGGTGAGGATTGAGAGGGGTGACTGCTGCCTCACAGAACTGCTGGGAGCCTCTAGTCCGCGGGGACAGGCTCTGCTGGGTACTCCTAGGTCAGTGATGGCGAACCTATGACACGCGTGTCAGAGGTGACATGCGAACTCATTTTTTTTGGTTGATTTTTCTTTGTTAAATGGCATTTAAATATATAAAATAAATATCAAAAATGTAAGTCTTTGTTTTACTATGGTTGCAAATATCAAAAAATTTCTATATGTGACACGGCACCAGAGTGAAGTTAGGGTTCTTCAAAATGCTGACACGCCGAGCTCAAAAGGTTCGCCATCACTGGCCTAGGCCTACCAACACAGTGGGCTCCGCTGTTGGCATTAGGTACTCTGAGAGGTATAGGGAGAAGCACTTGCCGAGCCAGGTGGCCGGGTCGGGATGACAGGTGCTCTGAGAGGGGTGTCCTGGTGTCTGGCTCTTCTGGCTGTGGACTGGGTTGCAGACTCTGGTGTTCTCAGTAGAGGCTGCTCTGCACTGCTAGGTTGGCTCCCCTATTTCCCCACACGTGCAGTCATTCCTGCCGCGTGCCTGTGCCCGCAGAGTCCTCCTGTCCCAGGCCATCCTCCTGTGTGTGGGAGGGGGTGGCAGGGGGGCTTACATCCTTCACAGTCAGATCTGCTCCATCTGCTCCCTTGCTGTTGCCCAGCGGACGCCTGGTGGTTCTTGTTGTCATTCAGCTGTGGGTACCAAGTCAACCCTTAGGTGCTTCTTGCTCCACCTCTTCTCTGTCAGGCCAGTGCCTGCTGCCTGTTGCTCCCCTCTGGCCTCTAGGTCATTCCACCTCCCTTCCTACAAACCAATGGACTGGACTGGGTTGTTACTGCCTTTTGAAACTTTGTTCTGGGTCTCTTTGAATTAAGTTTCCCAAATCTGGCGGGGTTGGGGAGGGGGGCAGGGTCACTTGAAAACTTTCCCAGATATGGCCTTCTCAGGTTCGAGAGACGGATTCATGAACTTACAATTCTTTTGGACTGTGAACCCACAAAAATAGGAGCAGTTTCTTATTTATCTCTGCTTTCCCATCGCCTGACACAGGCCTTGGTAGAGTGCTTTGTTTAACAGTTTTATTGCAATAACATTCACGTACTGTGTAACTGACCCATTTAAAGTATACAATTTGATGATTTTCAGTATATTCCCAGAGGTGTGTACCTATCACCACAATTGATTTTAGAACATATTCATCATCCCAAAAAGAAGCCCTGTACCTTTTTGCTGTCACCCCCCAACTTCTATCCCCCAGCCCTAGGCACCCACTAATCCACCTCCTGTCACTGTGGATTTGCCTTGGTACATGTTCTTGTTGGGAGGTTCCCTGCCTCCCATCCTGTTCCTCCTCCCGGAGCAGGTGTTTCCTGCCCTGGTCCTCCATTGGCCCAGCCTTCCCATCTTTCAGGACAACCTGCACACCTGGAAAGGTACTCTTTGGGGTGCTCTGTAGAAGGAAGTCATAGCCAAGCAAGTGGATGCTGGCAGGCTCCCCGGTGTACAGCACATGGGGCTGTGCACACAGTAGGCCTGAGTAGACATTTGTTGAGTGAATAATGACACTGATGGTGGGCCGGGATGAAACAGTGGCTGGGTTCTGAGGGAATTGTGCCAGTCGTTCAGGGACAGGTCCAGTAAATACAGCAGATAGTGGGAAGGTACCTCAGAGCCCTGCACCCAGAGACTAGGAGGGTGGTATACAATTAAAGCTAAGCAGAAATGGGAGATATGACTGTGGTCCAAGCTTCTGATGTTATAGATCAGAGAACTGTAGGCTGAGAGCAAAGTGGGGATTCACCGGGCCCAGGAGACCCACCCTAACGCTGACCTCTCCATCCTTCGTGCGGGCTGCCCTGGGTCTGCCAACTGCACACCTGAGTGATGGGGAAGGCTGAGTGTGCTCACCTACTAGGGGATGGCTGTGTGCTCTGCTCTCCCAGGCAGATTTATTTCCTCACCCAGGTCATGGCCCTCCTGAGTTGTGTCCCTAACCCTGGTTCCCCGCCAGCACCCACTCCGTGTTTCATCAAAGCCAGCCTCTCAACTTCCTTCCTTCAGCCCACTCCATACCCCTTGCCCAAAGCCCCTTGTACCTGCTCTGTTTATGTCCATGGGGAAAAGCCAGTGTTTCCCTTAGGGGCCTTGAGGACCCTGCAGAAGCTAAGGAAAAAGAGTGTTCTTGTCTCATCCAGATGCTGTGTGACCTCTGGCTAGTGACCTTCCCTTTCTGAGTCACAGATTCCACAGCTCTAAGATGAGGTGGTGTGACAAGGCCTCCCAGTTTGGAGAGTATTAAATAAAAAGCATCTTAGGAGGGCCCGAAAGGCTCACCCAGAGATCAGTCCTTATATGTAAAGTAGAGGTGGGCTTTACTTTGTGTTACAGCCCTCCAAAGGGTAGTGACAGATAGGCCTGCGCATGCCTTTTCCAACCCCTTCTCACTCTCTGTGGTGGCTAAGACGGGAGGCAGAGCCAGAGGATCTGTCTGGACCTTTTAGTTCATGTTGAACTCCTACTGCCAGGGTCTCAGATGAGGGGGACTCTTCGAATATAAAAATATAATAATAACTAACATTTATTAAGCACTTGGAGGCCAAGCACTGTACTCAGTATTTTTTCCTCAGTTTTATTTATTTATTTTGTTTTTCAGAGAGGAAGGGAGAAGGAGAGAGAGATAGTAACATCAACGATGAGAGAGAATCATTGCTCGGCTGCTTCCTGAATGCCTCCTTCCCCTGACCGGGGATCGAGCCCACAACCCAGTCATGTGCCCTGACCAGGAATAGAACCGTGACCTCCTGGTTTATAGGTTGATGCTCCACTACTGAGCCAGGCCCAGCCAGGCTCAGATTTTTTCTTTTTTTTTTTTAAATAGGATTCACACACCATAAGATTAAAGTGTACGATTCAGTAATTTGTAGCATATTCACAAGTTCATGCAATCGTCTCCACTATCTAATTCCAGAACATTTTCATCACCACAGAAAGAAACCCATACGTGTTAGTGTTCACTCCCATCTCTCGTTTCCTCCATGTCCTAGCAACACTCACCTGCTTTCTGTTTTTATGGATTTACTTATTATTCATATGAATGGAATCATACAATATGTCTGTGGTCTTTTGTGTCTGTCTTCTCACACTTAGCATAATGTCTTCATGTTGTAGTGTGTCAGCACTTCGTGCCTTTTTATTGCTGAATAATATTCTATTGCAGGGGTCCTCAAACTACGGCCCGCGGGCCACATGCAAATACAAATATTGAATTTGTTCCCGTTTTGTTTTTTTACTTCAAAATAAGATATGTGCAGTGTGCATAGGAATTTGTTCATAGTTTTTTTTTAAACTATAGTCCGGCCCTCCAACGGTCTGAGGGACAGTGAACTGGCCCTCTGTTTTAAAAGTTTGAGGACCCCTGTTCTAGTGTATGGATATACCAGGTTTGTTTATCCATTCATCTGTTGATAGTTATTAAAGTGATTTTACCTTTTGGTCATTGTTTGTATTGCTGCTGTTAATATTCATGTCCAAGTTTTTATTTAAGCACCTGCTTTCAGTTTTCTTGGATGTGTATACTTAGGAATGGAATTCTGGGTTGCATGGAATTCTACGTTTAACCTTTTGAGGAATTGGCAGCCTGTTTTCCACAGTGGCTGCACCATTTTACGCTCCTTTGCATTATCTCATCCATCCTCACATAAGTTTCATGGGGTCTAGATATAATTATTACCCATCCCCCTCCATTTCAAATGGGGGAATTGAGACTCAAAGGGTTTTCAGCCCAAGGTCATACAGCCACTAATTCGATGACTCTTTGGCCAGTGCTAGCTGTGATCACTAAAGCAGTGTCTCTTCTCCCAGACCCTGGTTTGACCATCAGAGTGAGGGCTTTGACTCTGCTGTTCATGTGCTATAGCTAGTGCTGGCACACATTGGCACTCACATGGCTTTTGAAGAAAATGCCATTTTTTCCTGATCTTGGTAGCGTGATCGGGAACTAGAGAGAGGCATCTGTTTCTTAGGAGTTCCTAAACTCTGCACTTTCTCAGCTTCCTGCTGGGTGCTGTGCTCCACTCTTCATACCCGATGCTGTAGACTTCCTATGAGCCTCTGTGTCAAATATCTTTCTTGGAGACTCAGCCTGTGGCTGGGGGATGAGCTATGTGGAATGTGCTAAGCAGAGGTGACTTCTGTTTCTCCTAAGTGCTTGTCATTAATTTGACTGTTGAAACTTGTTTTCTCTCTCTGTCTCTCTCTCTCCCCCCCCCTCCCCCTTCCCCTGTCCGAGGCGACTGATGACCTGCCCTTTTCTCCTCTAGGCAAAACCCATTTATGGTGGCTGGCTGCTCTTGGCTCCAGATGGGACTGACTTTGACAATCCAGTACATCGGTCTCGGGTAAGGGATGAACGCCTGGGGTGGGAGGGACCAGAGAGGGGCATACTGACAGAATGGGAGAGGGAGATGCAGAATTGACAGCAGGTTAGGGGGTGGTAGGGTCTGCAGGGAACCCCCATTTGGCAGACTTGGAGTACCCACAGGAAACGTCTCAATTACACATAGTTAAATCTGGTGCTCCCTTCACAATGAGAAGCTCTCACATGGTGCTGCTTGCGTCATAGCTCAGCTTTGATTCTAGAAATAGTTCAATGGAAAAGGAAAAGTCAGAAGGGCAGTTCAGCCAATGTTTGCAGGTCTGCTACGTAGGCGCCCAGTTCCTTCAGTGCCAAGGCCCTGCCTCCTGCAGCTCCCTCCTTTCCTCTCCTCCCTTCCTCCCTTGCCAGGGACTCAGCACATAGGCACTAGGAAAGGGAGGAGGCCCAGACCATTGGTCCCTGCTGTGCACAGGCTGCTGGAGCAGTGAGATGGTCAGACCAGCCTTGCCCCTGACCAGAGGTTTTTATTCCTCTGCCAGGGATCCCCATTGGATTTGACTTCAATTAAAATACCCTCTTTCCTTTTCCACATGCTTTTTCCCGGTGCTGCTGCCTGTACCCTATAAATTTCTCCAACTCTGCTCCCTCTTATCGCCTGCTCACTCAGAGAGCCTCTGGCCTGTCTCAGTCTCTGCTGCCCCAGCCTGAATGCTATAGTCCAGGGCGGGGCTTGTGGGCCCCACAGACCTCGTATTGTGTCTGGGTCCTTTGGGATTCCTTCTAGAATGGCTTTGTCTTTAGAGACTACAAAAAGTGCCTTGGAAATGTTTCTCGGGAGGAGTTTCTCCCTGGACACGCAATGTGGATCAGTCCTCTACGGTCCTCTTTATAGGGCTCTGTGAGTGTCCTGTTCCTGCCACCAGGCGGGAGAGCTGTGCTTCAATATCTGCAGCAACCATTTATATTGAGGTCATACAGAACTGCTTCTAATGGGAAGTCATTCATATAAATGATGTAATTCTGGCCCAAAGCAAAGAGACATGATGTTTTAGTTAGTTCTTATGGCCTTATTGCCGGTAAAAGTATGAATTATGTTGGGCTTTTTGAAATGTTGAAAACGGGTCATGGATCCTCATGAAGGAGGCACATACCCTTGTGGTCCTTTTTATTCCACTGTCAGTGCCATTGGACCACCCTTGTCCCTAGTGCCTGGCCTTTGGTTGGAGAGTGGAGAGGGCACCCTGCCAGTTGCATGCTCCCTGGACATCGGCGTTAGTTGTTCCCACTCGTCAGTTTTTGTTAGCTCACTTCTTAGTGAGTACTAGAGCTGGCTATCTCTTTCCCTGTCTCCCATTCCCTGTGGATCATTGGAACAACCTCTTATAGCAGTTTCCTATATTTTCTCAGAGGTGGGGGATCAGAGCTTGGTGTTCTCAGGTTATTCCATATCGTGTCAGATAATTCATAAAATAGATATTGACACATACCATGTGATAAGCTCTGTGCTGGGTACATAGAGAATGCAAAAGGTGATCAAGACATTTCTGCTCCTGAGGAGCTTGCAATTAAAATAAATCAGACATCTTGTTAATTCTCAGTAACTTGTATGGAAGCATACTGGGTGGTTTGGGCTTCTCTGGCCCGGTCCTGGATAATAAATCACTGTTCTTCCGCCTGAGATCCCTCCTTTCCTGCCATCTGCCTCAGAAATGGCAGCTGTGGAAGCAGCATTCTTTAAAAACAGCTTTGTCAGATACCGGGGCTCAGCAAGGGGAGATCAGGGCCAGAACTCTCCTAAACACCCACTCCGTGTTCCTTTGCAGAAATGGCAGCGGCGGTTCTTTATCCTCTACGAGCATGGCCTCCTGCGCTACGCCCTGGATGAGATGGTGAGTGTCCTCCTTGGCCCATTCCTCGTCTCCAGCTTCGCCAGGCCACTTCATTGTGGCTGCATTTGCATCATCTATGAGCACAGCATCTGTGTGCTCTCACTTGGGCTTCTGTTTTGGAGCCTGGAATTTTTGAAGAACTTGTGGCAACGGTAGAGCTGACCCTTAAAACCTAGACCCTTTGGTTTGAGGCATCTTCAGTGGTCACGGGTGAGAGTAAGTAGTGTGGGAGGAAGTCACTTCTATCCACGGCTTCTAGGGGTTGGACTTGGCCAGAGCACTCCTAGTAGAAGTGGAGCAGGCTGTGGACCTGCAGGGCAGATGGGAGGCTGGCTGTGCTGTACATGCATGTGGAAGTTGGGCACATGTGTTCACCTGCTGTAGTCCCAAGACTGCCCCTCAGTTCCATGGCTGTAATTGGTCTTGCTCATCCAACTGATCTGCAGAAGCTTCCTGGTTGTCATTGTTCTTCTAGTCACTAAGCCAGGGCATGCAGGTCCTTCTTGCCCTGTCACCCCCTGGTTTGCTTCCTGCTTCCTGGACTGGATGAGTGTTTATTGCTCTTGGTCTAGAGGCAAACTCGAAAACCAACCAGGTAGAATGTTCTGGCTTTCCTTTTTCTACCCATTTTGTGTACTGATTTTTTTTCTCTAAAGGAGATTGGTCTCCTGACTAAAGTATGACTGAATTCCAAGCTTTATAAAGGGTTGGAGATGGAGAATTTGAGCATCTTTTCCGGTTCCATTTGAGTATGTGAATGTGAGTGTATTCATTTGTACAGCATTTTTAAATTGGGATTACCCTAGAAAATCTGGTCACACCATGTAAAATAGATTAACCCATCTCTTTGCAGGAAGGGTGAAAGCAGGGTCTAGAGGTGTGAGCAGAAATGACTGTCTACCCAAGGGCCTCAGACTATGTGGACACTTGGGTTTTAGGGTGGTTATTACAGCTAACTGGTGAATATAAGTGGGTTCACTTCCACACGTGGGTCCCAATCTTTGTATTGTGATGCTTTCTCTATTTTGTTTCTGGGATGAATTAATAGGTATGATATCTAGTGTGGAATTAATAGGTATGACACTTAGTTCTTTATTGACTATCACCTCGTTGGTTCCTTCCTAAAAAGAACTTTCTTCCTTCTCATTCTTTCTGTGAGCATATTTGTACATTGTGGATGGGCCACCGAGGGTTTTTACCATGGAAACATCTGTGATCCAGAGTGATTTGAGGTGACTGGGTTGGAGGTGAGTGCTAATGGGGTGGTGGGACTCGCTAGGGAGCAGGGAAACTGATTTCACTTGGACACTCGTTTCCTTTGAGGAGAGGAGGCAGGTGTGGAGGCAGAGCCAGTGCTCCCCATGAGTTCTCCCAACTTGGCTGTGGTGCCTGCAGGGGCGCTGGAGCGGGAGCCGGGCTGCTAAGAGCCTGGAGGTTCACTGTGTCCTCCCCTCTGCCCGTGACCTGTTCAGAAGCCCTGCGAAGACTAGCAATTAGAGAAGAGCCTCAGAGGTTACTGGGTTCTATTCAGACCGGGCTGGGCAAGGAGTTCCCTGGACTTTCCTTGCACATCGATGATTCTGGTCAGGAGCTCTTCCTGTGGGTCTAACTGGAGTCCAGCACAATTCATTATTCCCTGCAGCTCAGAGGCACAGGCACCATGAGGGTGGCTACTGGGGACGCCTTTGTGTGGGCACAAACGCAGAGCACATGCTGCATCCCAAGAGCTGTTGAGCCCTGAGGACTGACACCTTGCAGTACAATTTGGTCTCCCAGCAACCTGGATGCTGGTTGGGCAGAAGTGGAGCTGTGCTAGTGACGTGAGAAAAGAAAGAAGCCTCAGCAAAAACTTGGACTGTAGGGAGGGCATTGGGGGAATGCTCAGAGTGGAGAGTTTTGGGCCATGGGCCACTTTCTGGCAGATGACCTTGGAGCTTAAGACCCTGTGAGCCAGGTAGTGCTGATCTGCCCAAACTGTGGGCGGTACAGATCCACTGCCTCTGCAGGGAAGAAGCTGGCATTACTTCTGTGAGTGAAGAAACAGCCGTGGCAGTTGTTTTGAAATACCTTTAAAGCTACATTTCACATGTAAGGATTTTCCCTTATGTGTGGGCAAGTTTGCAAGGAAGCATCTGGGTTGCACTTACGAAGAGGCTGAGTGAAGGGGCAGTCAGGTGCCAGCGGCCCGTGGTCATCATCATCGGCCATTGCCATGGGGCTTCCAGGCGGGCTCCTGTTCCCCCGCGGTTTGTATCAGGCCTTGTTCTTCATGGCCACTTTCCAGATGAGCATGATCCAAAATCTCGGAGCTCCAGCCCAGAGGTCAGTTTTCCTGAAGCTTGGAGTCCCTGCCTCACCCAGCCAGCAGGAGCCCTGAGACCTGGAGCAGAGCTTTTCAGGCAGCATGTGTGTGCATGGATTCTAGCCATGCTGGAGGTCTTCTCAGCAGGGACCACAGTGCCTCTGAGGGCCCCCTGTCTGGAGTCATCTTTGATTCTTACAGCTGTGTGGAGAGAAGGGGTTGCTACTGGCCCTGGTAGGTAGAGGCCAGGGGTGCTGCTCCATGTGCTGTGATGCACAGAACAGCACCCCCCACAAGAGAGTGTCTGGTTCCAGAGGTCAGCAGTGCCAACCAAGGCTTAGAAACTGTGAAATCTTGTCAATGACTTACTTAAATTTTTAAAAATGAAAACATGAATTGTTGTCATCCCTGTTCTTAAAAGGTACGGAAGGACTCAGCCATCAGATTTTCTGGGAATGAGAGAGGTGATGGGGCAGGGTTAGCCTGCTGGCTGGTATGGTAAGTGCCAGGCAAGAAATAGGGGTGGGCCTGTTTCTGGTATGAAGGGGTTTCTGTGAAGTGTCCCTGTACATCAGGTGACCACAGGGCTAGCAGAACTGCATAGGTGTGGCTTTTACCCAGGGAGCATAGGTACCACTTCCTGTGGCATGCTCAGGCCCTCCTGCCTGGACAGTGGCCCCACTAGTGTGGTCTCCAAGCCTAGCAGCTCTGAGCAGCCAGTAGCCACCATTGATGCTACCACTTCTGCCAAGCTGCGCTCCATAGACCCCCGGCCCCCTAGACCTCCATAGTAAATCTGCATGTATTAACTTTTGTACCATTTTATGGCTGGGCTGTTCCCTTAACACTTAGTCACAATCTCTTTCAAATTGTCACTTGACTTTTATACAATATTACTATTTGTTTTAATTTGTTTAAATGTTATCTTACCAACTAGATTGTGACGTGTGTGTTTTTTCCTTCATTGTTGGGCCCTAATTCTTTTTATTTATTATTGATTTCAGAGAGGAAGGGAGAGGGAGAGATAGAAACATCAGTGATGAGAGAGAATCGTTGATTGGCTGCCTCCTGCACGCCCACACTGGGGATCGAGCTCACAACTCGGACATGTGCCCTGACCGGGAATCGAACCCTGACCTCTCAGTTGCACCTGGGAAATTTCTTTTCCTTTTTTGGGAAAATTGTCTCAACCACTGAGCCACACCAGCTGGGCTTGGGCCCTAATTCTTGGTATCTTTCTGCATTGTCTGGCCTGAGGTTTATATGGTAGAGACCAGTAAATATTTGTTGAGTTGAACTAGCCCCCTTTGTAAACGCATTGTTGCAGAATTTCTGCTTTAGGTTTGAGAAGGTAGGAGCTGGGGTGCGTTTGGGAGAGGGGTTAGGTGTGTTGTGTGTGCAGCTCTTAATGGTTCCTTAGCAGAAGGAAGAACGCCCTCCAGAGGACTCCAGAGAACCAACAGTGGGGAGCGGGGGAGGGCTGGTCTGGGCCCCTCACTGGGACCAAGAGGGACCCAGCAGTCGCTGTGGCTGCCAGCAGTCCCAGGCAGAGGAGGAGGGCTCAGTCCCTGGGTGGTGTCGGCCTCCGAGTGGCCTTTCTGCTAGGCTGGGCCCTCAGGACTGGCTGCTGCCGTTCTCATCTGGTGGCTCTGAGTTGGGACTAACTTTCGGGAATCACTTTTTCTTATTTGGGAAGTTTTTTCTGACTGCACCCACATACCCTGTGATTCGATGTGGAGGGGGCAATCTTCCCAAAAGGAAAAGAAAGTTCCCAAATGCAAGCTGAGGTGAGGTGGGCTCAGGGCAGCCTTACAGACAAGGGTGGGGTGGGGGTGGGGGGCGCGCTGGGCCTCTGGTTTTTCAGGAGTGGACACAGTGAAGAATCTAGAAAGCCCAAACTACTGCCTCTCTCCTCCACTTTTGTTTTCCTCCTGTAATTCGCCCATTATTGTACCAAATCCTCCACTTCTTTTTTAAAAAAATATATTTTTATTGACTTAAGAGAGGGTGGGAGAGGGAGAGAGATAGAAACATCAATGATGAGAGAGAATCATTGATTGGCTGCCTCCTGCATGCCCCATACTGGGAATTGAGCCTGCAACCCAGGTGTGTGCCCTGACTGGGAGTCGAACCGTAATCTCCTGGTTCATAGGTCGACGCTCAACCACGGGGCCACACTGGCCGGGCTGCCCCTTCTTTTTGGCTTTTGGGGCCTGGTGTAAGGCTAAGTTGCTGGCCTCATCAAAACTCAAAGGTCATTTTGGAAGGCTTTTCTGGAGAAGGACCAAGTCCAGAAGGAAAGCAGGCTGGGTGTTAGGCAGAGCACACTGAGCAGTGAAGCTCTGGCTCTTGCTTTCATGTTCTCTTCCTTTTCCATCTGGAAGCAGGCAAAAAGATGGTCTCAGCTTTGTTTGTTTTTAATTATGGTAAAATATCTGTAACAAAATTTACCATTTTAACCATTTTTAAGAGTACAGTTCTGTGGCATTAAGCACATTCACATTGTTGTGCAACCATCACCCCATCCATCTGCAGAATTCTTTTCATCTTGCAAAACGGAAATACTGTTCCTGATAAATACTAACTCCTCAGTTCCCCTCCCCCCAGCCCCTGGCAGTCCCATTCTACTTTCTAAATCTGAATATTTTCTCTATGTTCTTCATATAAGTGGCACCATACAGTATTTGTTCTTCTGTGT